GGGGGGGGGGGATGTATTTAAAGGCATCGGGGAGGCTGGGTCAGCAGCAGTGCTACGGCAGTCCTGCTGAGCAAACCTCCCTGGTGGCTGTAAGCATCCCACCTCCTCTCCTACACCTGACAGGCAGCTGTCTGTCCAGTGTAGGACGGGGAGGGGGGAAGAGAATTAGAAGCCACTGTGGAGGCAGGGCTGCCAGGATCACTAAGGCATTATTGCTGAGGCAGGCTCCCTCGTGTTAGATGTAGGAGGGGGGGGAAGTGTGTTGGAAGCCATCCCACCTCCTCTCCTACACCTGACAGGCAGCTGCCTGTCCAGTGTAGGAGGGGGAGGGGGAGGGGGGAGGAGTATTAGAAGCCACAGTGGAGGTGGGGCTGCACCTGACAGACAACCGCCTGTTAGGTGTAGGAGGTGGGGGGAGTGTGTTGGAAGCCATCCCACCTCCTCTCCTACACCTGACAGGCAGCTGCCTGTCCAGTGTAGGAGGGGGAGGGGGAGGGGGGAGGAGTATTAGAAGCCACAGTGGAGGTGGGGCTGCACCTGACAGACAACCGCCTGTTAGGTGTAGGAGGTGGGGGGAGGGTGTTGGAAGCCATCAGAGAGGCTAGGCCAGCAGCTTTGCTTCACCTCACAGGTGGTTCTTGGCCACTCCTGATTTCCTCAGCTGTCATTAGCTCTCTGCAGTCCCCTGTAATGGTTGGGTTTTTTTTACCTGAGAACAATGAGCTCTGCAGCTGACCAATCAGGTTTTTTGTCGAGCCCCCTGCTTCAGGGACTCCTCTCCTGAGGACCCCCTAGGAGAAACTCTCCCAAACCATGCAATTTGAGTGACTGCAGGAGCAGAGCTCTGCAGCCCACCTTGATCCCGCTGCGCCAAAACTTAAAGTCCAATGGACTCCCATTCTAGTTGTATCTGAAGAAGTGAGCAGAGACTCATGAAAGCTCATACCCTACAACAAATCTTGTTAGTTTTTAAGGTGTTATGGGACTCTTACTCTAGAGTAGATGAGTGATCCAAGAAGCTACTGCTCCCTCAATCACTTTGCCTAGGAAGAGCAAGTTAGAGCCAGGGCAATAATTGGCCAGATCGTTTTTTCTGTAGGGATTTTTTTTAAAAAAGTAGTGGATGGACTCTTTGAGTGGTTGAGTGAAGGTGCCCTGAGTTAGTGATTGATTTATAACAGATGCTAACAGATACTAAGGATTTGTTGATGTGGTCTTTATATGAATTTAGAACCCAGGATGGGCAAGGATCCAGGGCACAAGTAGTGGCTTTCAGAGATCCTAGGGGTTTGTCAACATGGAAACTAGGTCAAAGTGATCCATAAATTGAACAGGCAGTGCATTAGGCAGTTCTTCTGGTGGACCTATATCACAATCAGCTTCTAGATTTGAGTGTATTCTTGATTATAAGCAAAAAACTTTGCAAAAGTATCACAACTTATTGCCCAGTCCTAGTACAATGAAGGCTCAGTTTTAGGAGTCTGTAAATGTCTTGTTACGTTAAGCAACTGGGATCATTCTGAACTAGCTGATACGATAGCAGAGAAGTAATATAGATCTTACAGTGAGCTCTATAATGAGATCTGTCAGATTCAGTACCAGGATCTCTCACGCAAGTCTGCATATCTCTGTGGTCCGTCCCCAGGGGTCATTTTGTAGAAAAAGAGGTGCAGGAGCTCATTAGCCCCACTCCCTGACATCACCAGAAGTGTGTCAGAAGGCAACACTCAGGCTCCACTGGACTGTTTTGGATTGCTAGCTATTGGGGGGGGAGGTGCAGATCTGTTCTCCCAGAGGAGGAAGAGCTTGTACCTGAATAAAACTTGGTCTTAAAGGTGCCACTGGACTGTTTTTTTTTTTGGGGGGGGGCTCTGCAGCTTACCTGGCTACTTCTTGCTCGGACTGAGGGTTGCTGGGAGCAGGGGGTGGGGCTTGTTGAATGTGCCCGCCCCCTAGGCTCTTTACTGCTGAGCTCCGCTCCTGTGTGCTCCTGCAGGAAATGACCCCTGGCCCTTGTCATGCACTAAACATGCTGGTATTTCTAAGGTATTAGTTCCACAGGACACAGTTATCTGAATGATCTTTAAAGCTCATTACAAACAGCAATTCAACAAATCAAGCCTTTTCCATTAACGTAACTCCACGCCTGGAAAAACTGCGCCTCTTGAATTTTTGCCGTCGCGCAGTGGGGGTGGGGTGGGGAAGCGAGCAATTACTCCAACTCCAGAGGTTACTCTCAGGCGCTGTTCCATCTCCCCCCCCCCGCCCCGTTTCCATGGTAAAAAACAAAGAGGTGGACAGAGGGGAGGGCATAGAACGCGGAGAAGAGCCAAGGTAGACCTTTGACCTCGCGTCAGTTGGGAACGCGGCGCCTTGGAGACTGTCGCTTGGCAACGAGACGCCCGCGGTAGGGCCTTCTCGCTCACCGTCTTCAACGTGGCGCGATGGATGCCGAAACGCTGCCTTACGCGCTGGACCTCGTTGCTGGCAGCGGCGTGTGTCTCAGCCCAGAGAAGCGGACGGCGTTGCGGACCTCGCTTCTGCTGGTGCGGCGCGACTACCGATTCGAGCAAGTTCGCCTGTGGGGACGCATCCAAGGCACCCGCGGGGCCTACTACGTCGCTGAAGGCCTGGGGCCGGACCGGGCAGGGCCCAGGAGCCGCCTCTACAGGTGCTGCGAGACTGAACGGATGCGGCCCTGGCACCAGCAGCCGTGCCCTCGCTCTGCTATTTGATTCTGCCTCCTGATAGGACTCTTGTGCCTGACCGCAGAAATTACACAGGCACGCTGTTTCCCTGCATGGGGCGAGGAACCTGACCTGTTGGATTTCTGACTGTCAGAAATTTAGCTAGAAAAAAAGCCGACAGCCTTGTATAGAAGGCTTAGCAGGGAGGAAAAGTAATGTAGTTCAGGCGGCCCTTAGGCTGAAAGGGTCTCTGTGTACGGGCTTGATGGCAAAAGGAAGAGTATCATTAATATATTTAAGTGAAGTATAGTTAATTTCTGTTAGAAGAGGCTTCCAGGTCAGAACGTCTTGGAGCCACACTCTCTTGCTAGCCCCCCTTCCCCTTCTTAACCAGCCCTACTTCTGGATCTTTTATTCCACTTTATGTGTGTACTATGTGCTGTCAAGTCACTTTTGATTTATGATGGTGACCCTATGAATTAATCACCCCCAAAACGTCCTAAATCTTGCTGAGGTCTATCAAACTGAAAGACATGGCTTCCTTTATTAAATTAATCTATCTCGTGTTTGGTCTTCCTCTTTTTCTATTGCCTTATCTTTTCCTAGCATCGTTGTCTTTTCCTGTGAGTCTTCTCATGATTTGACCAAAGTACAGTACCCCTCAGTTGAGTCATTTTAGCTTCTAGGGAGAATTCTAGGGATAATTCAGGCTGGATTTGATCTAGAACCCACTTATTTGTCTTTTTGGCAGTCCACAGTATTCATAAAACTCTCCTCGAACATCATTTTTTAAATGAATCCATTTTCTTCCCATCAGCTTTCTTCACTATGATACTATCCAACTTTCACATACATAGGTAGTAAAGGAGAATACCATAGTTTGAATTGATCCTGGTCTTCAGTGACACTTCTTTACACATAAGGATCTTTTCTAGTTCCTTCATTTGTCTCCGTCCAAAACTCAATTTCCTTCTGATTTCTTGGCTGCAGTCTCTCTCTTGGTTGATGATTGAGCCAACGAATAGATAATTTTGTTTATGACAATAAATGTACCCTGAATTATGGCATTGAAAAGAGGTTCTGAAATCAGGTGAACCATGGCTCAAATTTTATGTGTAATGATATAATGAAAACAAATTATTACAGGATACTTTATATTTTATTTACCTTAATTAAAGTACACCCTTTTCTCTGAGACTCAAGGTGGTTGATTATCCTTTGCTATGATATAATATGATAATGAGAGGAGCACAAATGGAATTCATATGCAGGAGAATAAATAAAAGAAAATAGTTTTTTGCCCTCTGTGGAATTGTGGGTCTTTGATCAGTGGTATATTCAAAATTAGAAGAGGAGTAAGAGAAAGTTAAAGGTGGAAATTTCAACCAGCAATAAGTAGTAGACAGTGGGATGTATGATTATGGGTATTATTGGAGACCTGGAAAGGCTTGCTGAGAATGGAGGGGCTATCAATATTGTCACAACTTTTGAAGCATTTTGATTGAGTTGTTACTGGAGGCTCTACACCGGGAGAATGGACAATTTCTAGTCTAAGGGCCTCTCTCCCTGGAAAGCGTGTACTTTAGTACACAGCTGGAGGAGTGGGGGGGGGGACGGACACTGTGGTACCTAATCTGTGTCCAAATAATTACTTCTTCCACATTTCCAATATCTGCCATGCAGACAGGTGTGGGTGAACTGTGGACAGGAATTTTGTGACCAGTGTGGCTTGGCTGCACTGAATGAATATATAACAGACCAAAAACAAACAACTGTATGCAGCTGTTATTATGGCAGCTATCTGTCTCAAGCGAAGGCTAAAGATGTGTCAGGGAGATATCAATAAAGGGAAAGGATGAGGGTTGGACTGTGCTGGGGGGGGGAGGGAGCAATTTCTTCAGTCTTGGCTGCTGAGTTTCTCTGTACTGTGAAAGAAGATGGAGGAGGCCTGTGTTACTTAGAGAAAAAGTGTTGATGATGGAGAGAAGATCAGCTACATGAAGTGTCTAGAAAACAGATGCAGTTAAGGGTTGAAGGAAGGACCTTGACCATAAGAACACAAGAAGAGTCCTGCTTCATCAGACCAGCAGTCCATCTAGTCCAGCATCTTGTCGTACACAGTGGCCAACCAGTTCCTCTGGAGGTCCAAAAACAGAGCATAGAGGCTGAGGTGTTCCCCTGATGTTGTCTCCTAGCACTGGGATTCAGAGGTTGACTGACTCTGAACATGGAGGTTTCCTTTAGTCACCATAGCTAGTAGCCACTGATAGATCTATCCTCCATGTATCTGTCACATCCCTTTTAAAGCTATCCTCTTTTAAAGTGGCTAGCCATCACCACATTATCTGGCAATGAATTCTACATTTTAATTACTCATTGAGTAAAGAAGTATTTCCTTTTATCCATCCTGAATCTACAGCCCATCAAATTAATTGGATATCCTTGAGTTCTGATATTTTGGGAGAGGGAGAAAAAGTTCTCTCTGTCTACTTTCTCTATTTATAAACCTTTAACATGTCCCTCATACTTGTGTCTTTTCTAAACTGAAAAGTTCCAGACACTTCAGTCTTTTCTCATAGGTGTTCCAAACCCTTTATCATCTTGGTTGCCCTCTTTTTTTTCTAGCTCTGAAATGTATCTTTTGAGATACAATGATCAGAACTGCACACATTATTCCAAATGAGGCTGCACCATAGATCTCTACAGGGGCATTATAATGTTGGCCATTTTTAAAAATACCTTTCCTATAATTGCCGTGTACAGCTTCATTTTTAACTGCTACAGTGCACTGGGTTGACACTTTAATTGAGCTGTCCACTACAACCCCAAGATCTTTTCCTCTCTGTCTTAGCAAGTACATATACTTAAAGTTGTTTTTTTTTGGGGGGGGGGGCGTTCCAGTGTGCATCAGCTTACAATTACATCAAACTTCATTTGCCACTTCGTTGCCCACACACCAAACATGCAGAGATCCTCCTAGGGCTCTTCACAGTTGGCCATGGTTTTCAGCATCTTAAATAATTTTGCGATATGCAGACTTGGCCACTACACTGCTCACCCCCAGTACCAGACTGTTTATGACAAAATTCTATAGCACCAACTCCAGTACTGATCCTTGTGAGACTTCTACTGCTTACTTGCCTCCATTGAGAGAACTGTCCACTTATTCCTACTCTTTGCTTCCTATCATTTAACTTTTTTTTAATCCATAAGAGGACCCATCCTCTTATCCAGTGACTGCTAAGGTTACTTAGGAGTCTTTGGAGAGGTACCTTGTCAAAGAAGCCTTTTGTAAGTCCAAGTCTATAATTAGATCTATTTTGGGAAAAACTGTCCCTGAGCCCTACCATCTGAGAACATTTCTGGCTAGTCACAGATCTTTAATTCTTGGACAAGGTGCCTCTCAGCTCCAGGTGTTCTTGGAAGAGACTGATTTTCTGGACCCATTTCAATCTGGTTTCAGGCCAGGATTTCTAACAGAAACTGCTTTGGTTGCCTTGGTTGATGACCTCTATTGAGAATTAGATGTGGAAATATTACCCTGGTAATTTTGCTGGATTTTTCAGTGGCCTTTTGATACTATTAACCATAGTATCCTTCTGAGCTACCTCTCAGCACTGGAACTAAGGGGTACCATATTATGGTGGTATAAATCCTATCTTGGGGGTTGGTCTCAGTGTCAGGGGATTCTTTCTCTGCCCCGTGGCTGTTGACCTATGAGGTGCTGCAGGGTTCCATCTTATCCCCCATGCTATTTAATATCTATTTGAAGCCACTGGGAAAGGCCATCTGGAGGAATGGGTGCTATGTCAGCAATATGCAGATGATAGCCAGCTCTACCTTTCTTTTCCTATGAATTCCAAGGATGCGGTTGATGTTCTGAATTGGTGCTTGGAGTTAGTAATGGGCTGGATGAGGGTGAACAAGCTGAAAATTCGGACCAGATAGAGTTCCTCTGGGTTAGTAGAAAGGCGGAGCAGAGATCTCCCCTTTCTTTGATAGGCTTATACTCCCTTTGAAAAGCCAGGTTCACAGCTTTCCAGTGCTGCTTAACATTGTGCAGTCACCTTAGAAAACCAGGTGGCTGCTGTGGCTCAAAGTACTTGGGCCAACTCTAGCTGGTGCATCAACAGCATCTGTTCCTTGGTCAGTCAGATCTAGCCACAGTGACCCATGCCTTAGTTATATTGAGAATGGGCTGCGGTGGCTCAGTGGTTAAGACACTGAACTGCAGACCGGAGGTCGGTAGTTCAGCAGTTCGAGACCTGAGTGCTGCATGATGGAGTGAGCTCCTGTCTCTGGTCCCAACTCCTGCCAACTTAGCAGTTCGAAAGCAAGAAATTGGAAGTAGAAAAATAGGTACTGCTTCAGTGGGAAGGTAACAGCGTCCTGTGCGCTTCGGCGTCTAGTCATGCCGGCCACATGACCATGGAAACGTCTTCAGACAGCACTGGCTCTTTGACTTGGAAACGGAGATGAGCACCGTGCCCTAGAGTTGGATTCGACTGGCTTTCAAGCAAGGGAAACCTTTACCTTTATTGGAATGCACTCTACTTGGGGCTACCCTTGAAGATTGTTTGGAAGCTGCAGCTAGACTGCTGGCTGGGGCCAGCTATCTGGAGCAATTGTGCTCAATCCTGCAGCAATTACCCTGGCTACTGATCTGCTCCTGAGCCCAACTCAGGGGTTTGTTTTGTCCTTTAAAGCTCAACATGTTCTTCCATACATTCCTGCCTGGGAATTAAGATGCCCTTCTAACTGTTGTACCAATTAAAGATGATTGTTTGGCGGGTCCACAAGAGAGGAGCTTTTTGGTGGCAGCCCCATGATTATGAAACAACCTCTCCAGGGAGTGTTCCTGGTCCCCTCATGACTGATCTTCAGGAGGCAGTTGAAAACAGTTTTATTTAGGACTGTATTTTGATTGATTTAGCTTTTATTATTGGTAGTCCAATTTGGATTTTTTAAACTATGACTTTTATGGATTTAATAGTTGTTGCTTTTATTTTGGTTTTTGTAATGTTTTATTTGTATTGTAAGCCACCTTTAGTTTCACAAGGGAGAAAGGCAGCTAATAAATGTTTTAAATAAATAAAATATGTCTATCATGTTGCCATTATCTACATACCTATTTACTTTCTTAATGAACTCCAAAAGGGAGGGTCCTCCCTTTTCAGAAGCTGTACTGATTTTGCCTCAACAGACTTTGTTCCTCTGTGTGCCTAATAATTCTCTTTGATTATAGTTTCTACTAATTTGCATGGGACAGACTTTAGGCTAACTGGCCTGTAATGTCCTGATTTCCCTCTGGACCCTGTTTTAAAGACCAGTGTAACATTTTCTACTCTCCAGTCTTCTGGTACAATGGTTGATTTTAGAGATAAATTACATATACAGGTTAGTAGATCAGCAATCTCACATTTGAGACTGTGCATTGGTGATTTCCCACCTTACAGGTAATAAAGTCCTGGGGGGAGACAAATGGCTTTTAAAAGTGGTTTTATGGAGAAGATTTGCCTCCCGTTTCCCTCATGCCCATGCTTCATTTTTGCATGACTTGCTACCCTGCTGCTTTGCAGGTATTCTTGACCATAGTTCTACATAAGTTCGTTGACATCCTATTTAGTGTGGCCCTCAAATTCTGGAGAAAACAGTAGGTTCCATTCTGTCTTTCCTAGTCATTTGAAGTTGCTTGTTTTATTATAGTTACACATTTTTGGGCTGTGAAAAGATTGCCACTTTTCATGTCTGCATACTATGGAGTCTGTCTTCATGTCTCCTGTTCCTTTTGAAATCTTTGTGGGACCTCCAGAATCTGAAAAAGGACATTGATCTTTCCCCTGCAATAAACATAAACTTTACTGTATGTCATGTTTGTGAATTTGACAGTTTAAACTGTGTGGATTGGAGCCTTCTGCCACCCCCAGCTGAGGAAATGATTCCAATGACAGCTGGATTAAAGGGACGTTTCCAGGGGGATCCATCATATGAATATGAAAACTATGATAAGAAAGAGGAAGGTGAAAAGCCATATGAAGAGGAAACTGGGGTGAGTATATTGGGGGCATCCTTTAGATCTCGTCTCCTAATTGCTCTCATGGAATTTGTCCAAAGTTGCATTTACACTTTTAAAAAATACTTATTTCAAAGTAATGCATCTGTGCTAACTTTCCTTTGTCATTTTTAATTTTCATTCATTTATTGGTTTACTTGTTGCATTTGTATCTCGCCTTTCTTCCAAGAAGCTCAGTGTGGTGTGTTTCTGAGTAGTCTTCCAGCCAGTTCCCTGCAAGCCCAGAGCTTATTTGCTAGATGAACTGGCTGTCCCCTTCAGGCCCTTCTCGCTGATCTTCTGCTGTTCAGTATTTAGCTTGCTGCATCTGAAAGTTTCATACCCTCATCATGATTTGTAAATAGTAGAAGACTCCCATGAATGATTGCGATGGCTTATGTACAATAGCTTTGTTCAGATGACTCACATATATTGTTGGCTTCGTGGTGATGATATGAATTAAAATCTGGGATCGCAGAAGGTTTGATTTATTTTGGGTGAATTGCACACAAAGGCTTTAGCATAATTGTACAGCTAAGGGCCGAACTACACATTACAATTTTAACATGTAGTTGTAATAGTATCTGGGTTCTCCTGACCTGATAGACTTAGAGAGTCACATGTCAGATGGGAATGACCTTGTTTCCCAGTTGTCCAAGGCCCCCATTCATACTTGGACCAGCTTCATCTCTGATTCAGACTGGGACAAAAGCTTGTGTGTGTGTGGAAGGGAGAAGTATGAATTTCCTTCTTCCCTCCCACCCCCGTGCTGTGGTCCTGGTCCAAAGCAGGACCACAGCGATTGGGAAACCAGTTCCCTTGCACTTGATGTGATTCTTTGAGTCAAACTCAGATTTGGGGAAACCAGATACTGTATGTTAAAAATCACAAGGTGTAGTTTGCCTGTTAGTTGATACAGAATCAGCCAGTATCTAGAAATCGTAACCAGTGACCTTGGTTGTAAATTTTCTTCCATAGCTAAATACTTTACCTGGCTGCTATCCAAGAAAGCTACATTTTCTTGACTTCTGTATATGGATTTAGGACTGGGTTAAAAGCTATCCTAATAAATGTGGGGAGTGGAGCACAACACATGCAGGTATTTTATTATCTAACTAGAGTTGCCAACCTCCAGGTGGCACCTGGAGATCTCCCACTATTACAGTTGATCTCCAGATGACCAATATCAGTTCCTCTGGAGAAACTGGCTGCTTTGGAGGGGGGATTCTATGGAATTATACCCTGCAGAGGTCTCCCCCTCTCCAAACCCCACCCTCCCAATCTCCCTTCCTAAATCTCCAGGAATTTCCCAACCCAAAGCTGGCAACTCTATCAGACAAGCTATGTAAAACAGAATTGTTCAGGAGGGCATTTTTGTAAAGGCAACAGAACAGTATTATGATGTAATGGTTCAAGAAGATTATTTAAGAAGGGAATGGGACTGTGGGCTACACTAATGTGTACAGCGTATATTATCTGTTCACCATGTGTATTATCTTGCTGTCACTACATTGTTTTCTACCTATATAATTCTATCTTTTGGCCCTATTAATGTATCATGTTTACTACTTATTATTTGTTTTGTTTTCTAGCTGCCTTACTTCATTTATGAGATGTCTTATTCTATTGATTGCACTGATTTTTACTGCATAAACTGCCTTGAGAAAGGTGGACTATGTTTATTTATTTATTCACATTATTTAAAATCCAAAGGTGATTAAATGAAGCTAAAAATCCTCTGCGTCAAGGACTAAAATCATTGAAGCTTCTCTGGAAGAAAGCAGTTCTGGAAGGTCAGAAGTTAGGGGACAAGGTGCAAATATTGGGGTAGGGAATTCTATACTTTGGGGGCCACCACCAAGAATGACCTGCCTTGCATGCTCTCCAAGCTTATTTCTCTCACTGATGGCACTCAGAACAGAGATGTACATGATGACCATGGCCCATGAGCAGGGTTGTTTGGGTGGAACTGGTCTTTTAAATTTCTGGCTCCTAAAGATCAGTACTGACCCTTTGTATTGGGCCTGGAAACAAATTGGCAATCAGTGCAGCTGACAGCTCCGGATAGTACGATAATCACAGTAGGTTGTACTGAGAATCCTTGGTGTTATGTTTAAAGTCAATTGAAGTTTGTGGAGACTCTTCAAAGTTAACACTACACAGAGCATGTTAGAGTAACATTCTGGATGATACTGAGGAATGGCTGTTGTTGGCAAAACAGCTTCACCTGGTAAAACACACTTCTGGAATCCTCAGCAACCTGACTCTAGAGAAGTAGGGCTGGGTCCAGGAACATTCTCAAACTGAAAAGCTGTTCTTTCAGAGGGAGTACAACTACATCCAAAATGGCCTAGAAAACCTAGTCTTGCACTTTAAATCAAAGGCATCTCTGTTTTCTCTGGACTGAAGTTTCAGTTTGTTTCTCCTTCACCACTTCCAGACTGTGGTTGTACTTTTCACCTTCTGGGATTTGATGGAAAGATGAGAGAGAATTATATGTCATTCAGGTACTGATGGTGCTGTACTCCAAATCTGTGGCTGACACCTCTCCATGGTTTTTTGGAGATGCTGAAAATAAATCTGCCAGCACCACTGTGCTAGCCCCATGCTGTCAGAAAATATACAAAGGTGACATGGACCCTTTCTGCACCCGTATTTTGGCTTGGTCTCTGAGTGCATCCTATTCTTCCATTCCGCATTGCCTTCTGCTGTCACTTTCGGGCTTTCTCTTGTTTTTGCATTTGTTTACAGGAATCTGCATTCAGACCACTTCCAGCACACTGTTGTCCCGCAGCTACCAAAACTCTTTTTGCAGTGATTCTGTGTTCTCATCCACTTTCAAATTGCTAATCCATTCTAAAGTAGAATTGTTTCTGTGGGTATTTAAGTACTGCCCGCTGCCCCTCCCCCATTCCCACCTCTCTCTCTTTAGGTTGACGCTCCCTCCCTGTTCTGTTTTCTTTCCTTCCTTCTCCAAAGATAAAATAGAACGTGTCCTCCCACTCAGGCAAGCTTTTAAAAAGCCAGAGGGAGCATAAGAAGGAATCAGTAAAGGAGTAGGGGATTCCCTGCTCCCAAATGTGTCAGTCTTGCATGTGTAGGTCTGGATTTCCCCTCCGTTCCCTTTCTTTTTGCAGAATCACGGAGGGAGGGAGGGTTTGGCACCCAGCTTAGAAAATGCTAGTTTTGCTTGTAGATGCAGAATGCATACAGAATGCACAAATAAATAAACCGGGGGGGGGGGACCAGTGCAGAAAGGGCCATGGTCAATGGTATTGAAAGCTTAGTCATGAAGCTGAATGGGGCCTCTGGGTTCAGAGGCAGAATGCTGCTGATTGTGTTTGGAGACTAGTGGGCCCTGATTGTGGGCTTCCTGGTCGCATCTGACTAGCCACCTGGTGGCATCTGACTAACTTCTGTTGTTAACAGGATGCAGAACTAGATGGACCGTTGCTCTAATCCAGCATGCACACTCATGTGTTCTCAAACTGCTAAGAACTAACAGAGACAATCTTCCCTTGCTGGTATCCTAGCCAACAGGGTGACCAAGGCAGTTTCCATCCCACGATCTGGTTGGAAACCAGATTGAGAATCTGTATGATCCAGAACAATTTGGAGTTGAATTGTCACCACTTGGTCAAACACCTGGTCCAGAAAAGGGTTTGACAATTATTCCGATCTAGAGGGTCCAAAGAAGGCTATTTTTGGACAAAGATTCTGACTGTCTCCTTTAAGGCTTTTGTTGTCAAAAGCTCTCATAATGAGGCACTAATTACCTGCGGGGAGCTGCAGTGGCTCAAGTTGTTAAGACACTGAACTGCAGGCTGGAAGGTCAGTAGTTCAGCAGTTCGAGACCCGAGTGTCGCATGACGGAGTGAGTTCCCATCTCTGGTTCCAGCTCCTGCCAACCTAGCAGTTAGAAAGCAAGAAATTGCAAGTAGATAAATGGCCACATGACCACGGAAATATCTTTGGACAGTGCTGGCTCTTCGGCTTGGAAACGGAGATGAGCACTGCAACCCTAGAGTTGGACTTGACTGGCTTTCGAGCAAGGGAAAAAAAGCTTTACCTTTACTTAAGTACCTGTGATGGATAAAAATGGCTATGCACAGTTTTAGTAATAACAGTTATAAATAACTGCTTTGGAAGGTGATAGCAAAACCTACTTTTGGCTCATATATGTAATGTATTATTGGCGATAAGGGATCAGCACTTTCAAAGAGCATTTCAACATATTGAGCATAACACAGGGACTGTTCCATGGAACATCCATAGTTCTTGCTAACTTTTAAGTTGTGCATTACTGTTAACTTAAGTTGTGGCCAGATTACTGCAGTGTGCTGTATGTGGGGCTTCCCTTGAAGTGTGTCCAGAAGCTACATTTGGTACAGAGTGTTGTCGCCAAAATGTTGACTGGAGTTGCAGGGACTGTGTCACTCTAGTCTTGTTCCATCTACTAGTTTGCTTCTGGGCCCAACTCAAGGTGGTGGTATTGACCTTTAAAGCCTTATAAGGTTTGAGGCCAGCATACCTTAAGCACCACCCTTCTCCCTGTGAACTTATCCATCCACTCCATCTTCAGAGGCTTTGCTTTGGGTGCCCCTGCCATCTGAGGCTAGATGGCTGGCAACTGAAGAAAGGCTTGTCTTGGTTGTGGTGCCAAAAGGTTGGAATTCCCTCCCTAGGGAAATTCATCTGTCTCCCTTTGTCATTACCTTTCCCCAGCAGGTGAAGACTTTTTATTACATTTGGCAGAGCCCTAGTAAACTCAATAAACTGACCCTCCTCCCTGGTTGTGTCTGTATATCGCTCTGTTTTTATTGTATTGTTAAATATTTATATATACTTTTAAAATGCTATTTAAATATTTTAATGTTTAGATGTTTGCCACCTTGGAGACCCCATATGGTTGGAATGGTGGCACAGAAATGATTTAAATAAATAAAGTAAATTTGAATATCTCTTTTTCCTCATTTGAAAAAATATTAATATCCAAGTGAGTAATTTTTTGTGTGATTATGTTACTAACATTTGGTGCTGCCTCATGGGTCTTAACAGATGAAGGCAAGGTATTTTAAATAGGAACTGAATCCCCTCAAATAGAATTCTTCTGAATCGCTTTGAACACGAGTCAGATTATAGACTTACTGCCTGTATCCAGCAATGCAGTTCCAAAGAACTAAGGATACTTATGTTTTTTAGTTAAGGTAAAGGTTTCCCTTGCTCGAAAGCCAGTCGAATCCGACTCTAGGGATGCGGTGCGCATCTCCGTTTCCAAGCCAAAGAGCCAGGGCTGTCTAAAGATGTTTCCATGGTCATTTGGCCGGCATGACTAGACGTTGAGGCACATGGAATGCTGTTACCTTCTCACCGAAGTCGTACCTATTTATCTACTTGCAATTTCTTGCTTTCGAACTGCTAGGTTGGCAAGAGCTGGGACCAGAGATGGGAGCTCACTCCGTCATGCAGCGCTTGGATCAAGGAGCCAGCAATTCCCACTGATTTCCCCCCTCCCACTGCATCCCACTGAGCCCTCCCCCCTATTTTGTTCCTGGGGTCTGGACCCTTAGAAACAGCAAAGTGAGTAGGAAGGGGGAACTGACAGATTGCTACTTCCTCTTAAAACATAAGTGCTCTTAAGTCTTTGGAATGTTGTTGTGCTCTGGGGTCAAAAAGCCTGTATCCATTTAGAGAGGAGACAGTTATTTTGCAAATGGAATGAACACATCTACTGCATCAGTAATCCTCTTGCATTGGGAACCTGTGATCATTCTCATATCCATCAGATTGCAGGAGGATGATTCTGTTTCAGGTACCTTTCTAGTGCAGAGAACTGTCTTACTGTTTGTTTTTTCTTTAACAGGCCTTGGTCAAGGAGGAGCTCCGTCTTGTAATTACAGTAGATCAGATAGATAAGGCAGTGGGTATTGTTCCACGGGGTGCATATATAAAGACACCACTTGGACCTGTGCATGAAAACAGGAGTTTTGAAGGTAAATCAATGTTTGAGTTAATACAAAATATCTCCTTCATTGAATGCTAAAATAACTATGATCAGTAACTTCCTCCTTGTGTTTGTCATTTTTAGGGCATGTCCCCATGTAAGATGTAGGAATGCTTACTCAGCATCTAGGCACAGCCAGTACAGATTCTGTCTATATGATAGATATATGAATTATGCATTTTGTATGTAAGGAAGCAAAGTGTGTGGAAAGCCTTCACACAGAAATGGTTTTGTACTGATTGGTTTTGGTGGTAGAAGTGGAATTGGTGTCTGATGGATTTTATGTGTATAAAGCAAACTGAAGGGCCAGTTGTACAGGTCTTTGCCCACCCAAGCCAGTCCAGGAATGGGAGGGAATCCTGTACTTTTCACTACGTTAAACAACAAACCACAAGATGGTCTATACCCCTTCTGGTTTCAGAACAATTTGCCACCAGAACCTCTTTCTTTAGTCCCTGCTCTTCCTAAGGGAGAGATTCCAAACCCTTAGCACATTAGCAACTCAATATAGAGATGCACACTCTTACCAAGGTAGCATGTGTGTGGAGCGTTGGGCTACAAGATTTAGACTTAGAATTCAGGTACAACATCAGAAACCATTTAACAATCAGAAGGATCTTTATTCAGTACAGAGATTAGCATAGACTACCAGAGATTACAAAATAACAAAGGCTAGGGCTGTTTGCCTTAACTAACATTAATAATTCATAGTTACCAAGTGAGGATTATTCATCAGTCCAAGATAGTCCGAGTACCAAGGGATTTTAAGGAGAAATCCCATCCTTGCACCCATGTGCTCCAGTTCACAAAGCAACTCTTTGTCTCTCATGAGGCAGCATTTCCAGGTGCAATAAAACAGGCAGCAAGAGGAAGAAGGGAGAGCTAAGCAAGAGAGCAACCAGAGCAAGACTCTCATTCCCATAGGGATCGATCAATTATAGCCCAATTCCAGTCACAATTAGCTGTGGCCATCAGCCAATTGTGAGTGGGCATGGGTGTGCCCAATTGTTGGTTGTCATAGCTGCGTGTCGGGATAGGCTAGACGTTTGGAGCCCGGCCTGCAGTCAGATGACCCAAACTCCAGCTACTTCATGGTCTACGTGACTAGTCACATGTGGGCCAGAAAGTGCAGCCATGAGGTCTGGCGTTTGGCATGAAAGTGTGAAAGAATGTGGGTTTATGGCATAGCTATTGAGGCCATGTGGCCCCCACCATTTGGCTTGCAACAGGAAACAAGACACAGCATGTTATCAAAAGACATTACTGGAGAAGGCATGTGGCTATAGAAAGCAGAAAGCAATTTTTCTATACACCAGTGTCAGCATTTCTTAATATGCTTCCTTTCAGTTTGACACACCTGGGCAAGGTGTGAATTTTCCAAGTGTTAAGCCTATTTTTAATTTGGAATCCAATAACATACTCAAGTTTTGTTCAGAGGTTTTGTGCTGATGGGGGGGGGGTGGATGGAAGGATGGCAACTCCACTTTTCACTTCCAGTATATCTTCTCTTAGACAGTAATAATCCCAGGCTAGGTGAAATTCCAGAAATAGGGAGATTGGGTTAAAATCCTCACTCAGACATGAAGCACGCTCTGTGAGTTTGGGCTAGTCACTTTCTTAGCCTCCCTTATTTTACAGAATTGTTATTGGGATAACAGAGAGGAGAAAAAAATGGTGCATAGTATTCTGAGCTCTGTGAATGGTGGGTAAAATAAATTATAAGTAAGATAGAAGATAATTGCCCATCACTTTTAACGCAATTAAAAGGCTGTCAGGTTTTTGTTTTCTCTGTTTTCTTGCAAAAAAGCTAAGCCTTCTCTGCTCTATTCCCTCAGTGGTACAGCCTGCAATCCATGTGAATAGACTGAAATGAAGAGAGGGAACCCTTTGCCCTACTTGTAAGGTTACAATCAGAATTGTCTCAATTGAGAGAACTGTGGTGACACCTATTCTATAGCACATTCTCCCATTCATGTTTTTGCTTGATATTTACTGGCCACATTAAGAATTGTTGCTAGGGCTCAAGTTAGTGCTGCTCTGAGTTATTCTTAATTCATCTGTATATCTGTGTATGGGAGTGTAAAGGCTATTATACTGCATACATACACTCTTAATTCACATATATGAATGGGAATTATTACAAGGCTGACAATATTGGTCTAGAGATACCTTTGCTGTTGTACCCTGTATCTGCATGAACTCAGAATAGGTCTAAATGAGTGCCCCCCCACACCTGGTTTCTTTTTGTCATGAATGATTCTGACTTGGAGTTACCTTTGGACATTATCACATGACCAAGCCATGTTTTTGGCTGTGGAGCTAGACTGAAGAATAGTTTCTTTGTTTTCAGATTCAGCAAGATTGCTGTAACCACTAAGAGATTTGTTTTGATAAACTGCCAGTTCAAAGAACTGTTGTACCAATAGAACTGTTGGCAGTTTCCCAGAACTCTGCAAAGCATTCCTGGAGGTCTCTGTCTATGTGGGTTTGTTATTAGTGCCTTAATGCAAAGGTGCTTCCTAAGGCCATTCATCAGTGAACTGAAGGTTAGCAGTGTGTATGTGGAAGGAGATTCATGGCTAATGTTTACACTCTTCACACAACAGGTTTGTCTTTGACTGAGGCCAAAAAGTTAAGCTCCTATTTCCATTTCACTGAGCCTGTAAACCTGAAGAACAAAACCCTTCTGGAGAAAGCTGATTTGGACCCATCCATTGACTTTCTGGATTCTCTTGAACATGATATTCCTAAAGGTAGGGTGGAAGTGATATCACCAAAATGTAGAATGGGAACAGAAATGTTATAAAGCTGCCACTCCTAGCTAAGAGGACACATATGGCCTACATCATTGAAGAAGAAGAAAATGTAGTAATTGTACAATAGTCTTCTAAAGTTCAGAAAACTGAAAAAATTATCTCAGTTGTTCTTACCTCAAACATATAAGGCAGGCCTGCATTATTTTCTTTATATGGAGGATCCACAAAGACTTGCAGAATGAATCTCATTTTTACCTTTATCTCTCCCCCCCCCCATATTTCCTCTTTTCCTTTCCTGGCAGCCTCTCCTCCTTTTCTGCCTCCTTCTTTCCTTCCTATCCACAAGCCTAAGTCACCTCCCTTGTCTTCAGCTTTCTCTGTTTCCCTCCCCCTGGCAGCCACTCCCTGGGAGAGCTGTGTGGCAGTTGCTGGCCCAGGCCTAGTTGTGTGGGTTATGTGTTTCCAATGATCACCACTGGATCTGTCTGCAGTAAGTCCTTCTCTATCAGGGGAGGTAGACAGGACTTTCCCCACTGTTTTAACATCTAGAGGTTCACCCCATGCCTTTGCAGAAACCAAGGCTTAGAAGGCTACGCAATATTGTTTTGGTTGCCTTGCAAACTCCAAAATGGCCACTGAGAGCTCAGTGGACATTCTTTTCTTAAAGCTGCAGGCATTGTTTCTGTTATTTGGGGGAGTGTTAATCCCCCTCTGTGTGTGTGTGTGTGTGTGTGTGTGTTAAGTCCCATCAAGTCCCTTCTGGCTTACAATGACCCTATAAATTAATGTCCTCCAAAACATCCTATCATCAACAGTTTGCTCAGGTCTTGCCAACTGAGGGCTGTGGCCATGACATTAGATTCGGGATGGAGGATTGTGGGAGATTATTATAAGGCTCCTATAATATTAGTTAAGGGTCCTAAGAACTCAGTCAATTTACTGATCAGTTTTTCTCTTTTTGGCTTTTATCCTGGAACAACAGGATCAGCTTACGGCTGCATTAAAAAAGAAAAACCAATGAAATTCACACAACACTACAGCAGCTATTAGACAGCAAGTCGTTAACAATAGCTGAGGAACCGTCAAGAACTTGTAGGGATGACTTCATTTTCTCCATATTCCCTTCCTTAATCTATTTCCTCTTTATCTTATTCTGGCAGCCCACATATAAACTACTTCCTTCTCCCCTTTCCACTCACCAATCATCCTTTCTGTTTTTCTGCCCCCTCCCAATCTTCAGCTTTATTTATTGTTTATTTACTTCATTTATACCCCACCTTTCTCCTTACTGGGGACCCATGGAACATACTGGGGACCCAAGGATCATTCTCCTCCCCTCTGTTTTATCCTTACATGGACTCTGTGAGGTAGGTTAGGCTGAGAGTGTGTGACTGGCCCAAACTTCTGTAGCAGACAGGGGATTTGAATCTGGGTGTCTATAGCATATTGGCTTTCAGGTTTCCTCCTTTCTTCCCTCTGGCAGCCTCTCCTTGGGAAAAGTCTGGCCAACTTGCATACGTTTTGCAGTAGCAAGTTGCTCAGGTGAGTTGTGTGGTGGCCACTGCCAGGCCTGGCCAAGTCATGCAAAGTGTGCAGAGACTGCCGTTGCGCCCAGTTCTGGTACCACCATTGCACTTGGGTGAGTTGTGCAAATTGCACTGAAGCAGTTGTCTGGTGTTTGATGCTTGCCCTGGCCCTAATGTCCTACCTCCAAGGCAGGAAGAAGGGGAGCAGGGGTGGACTGGGAGCCCAGAGTAGCACTGGAAAGGGCCTTCCCTCCTGCCTTTTACTGATAGAAAACAAGGCTTGAAGGCTGTTTACATTGTTGTGGTTGTTGAGCAAACCCCACAGTGGCCACTGAGATCTCAGAGAAGGCATTCATTTCTTAAACGTACAAGCACTGCTTCTATTGGTTTTTGGGTATTAAGCTCCCAATGTTTTTTTAAAAAGAGTTCAGATTAGTGCTTTTCTCAAGGTTGCATTTCTCAAGGTTGTAGAAAGTTCTGTCTTGCCCATTCATGGTGCCAGTCTTGGATTTAAGCATCTACAGATGAAACCATGTTGAGAACTAATATTATACATGGAGGGATGATGCAAAGAGCTCATAATTTGTCTAAGGCCACTTGGCAAGTCTGTGGTGAAGTTGAACTTTAAACCAGAGACATTCTGCTTGTGTTCCTGACCACTGTGTCACACCGGCTTTCATAATAACGTGCTATATGTTTTATGTGTGGCCTGATTTTTCAGAATTTTTTTGGTAATAGTAAGACTGTTAAGATAAACAAAAAAAAAACATATAGAGACTGTTACATCCTTATACTGGGTAGTTTTGCCTACTTTTTTGTTAGCTTCCTGTGCTGTCTGAGTTCTGTATTTTGTCCTGAGTAAAAGGGGCTTGCAGCAGCCTGCCGAGCAAGATAACACTATCAGAATGGTTTTTTGTTTTTTAAAAAAAGCTTTTTATAGGGTTTGGTGTATTTGGTATGTCCTGTTCCATCCAATATTGCTTTTTATCGCAATGAGTTTTTGTTAATTCTAACTTTATCTTGGAGAGATTGGGTTCAAACTTAATTTTTTCTGTACTGTTTCACATTATAACATTTTGGCCTTGGCAGGGTAAAATTAAACAGCTTGCAGTGGACGAATATGTCTGCATGCTTGTTAGGGAATCTGAAGATCATTGATCTTTGTATAATGAAGATTAATTGAGTTCTGTATTCTGTCATGATTAGAAGGGGTTTGAATGACTTATGTTACTCCAACTATAATTGGGAGTGAGATTTCTTGTGCTCACACTGCATTCTAAAAGGAACAAATCGATCAGTAATTTTCAGTTATCCCCCCCCCCCATTTCCTCAGTCTTTCAAGTCAATGTGAATGAGCCTCCCATAGGGCCAGTGTGCTTTTCAGAATAGCCAGTCTTTGCTTATCATATACAAAGTAGCATGTGGCTCTTAGCTTCTTCTTTTTCCTAAATGCTGTGGTACTGAAAAATGGACCACCTACATGGAAACTGCTGCAGAAAGGCCAACAGAGACCCAAAGATATCAAGAGCAGGAGCCTGAAGAACAAGGTTTGAGAATGGTGGATGAGTGTCTCAGCTTTGGTGCCAGAAAGTAGCAATTGCACATGGAGCAGTTTGGCTTGTCAGTGAATGCTATAAATTTGATATGGCTTCCGGTAGGGTTTCTGTCACAAAGCCCTTGGAAATTCTTGTAATACATGACAAAGTATACGGACTTGGAAGTGGAAAGCAGGAGAGTAAGGTTGTTTTTACAGTAAACTGGGCAGCTGCATGTAGGACTGTAGTTACTCATCCTGTTTTATATAGATATTATTACAAATGTGTATATTTATTTTCTTATAAAAGGAAGCATGGTGGGTCAGAGTCAAAATCCAGGTACCTTAATGCAGTAATGAATATCTAATTAAAAGCCAAAGATATGCTTTCAGCTATCTAAAAACAATTCACATAGCCAGCCTTAAGGTACCCAAAACTTCTGTGCTACTGCTGACTGTGAAACAGCGGTTGAAGAGTATAGGTTCATTGTTGTGGCTTCTGTTCAGGCACATGCTGGGAATCCATGTGTGCAGGCCATCTGTGGAAAAGATTTCCAAAGCCTTCTAATAGATGAGGAATGCCCCTCCCTCTGGCGCTTTCCTGCCAAAACAATCACATGACCAGGAGGAGGGATGCTACTCACTTAGCTCTTTTTGTGCCACTGTGAAGAGAGGATCTTTACTGTTTCAGTTTTTCCTCACCTCATTCTTGAGACTGAGGAGACTTGTTCCTATCAATTTTTTTTGGTCATCAGTAATTCTAGTGAGGAATAAACAACACTGAAAGAAGAAAAGTTTCTGGCTTTCCACATTGTCACTCAAAAGGGGCCTCTTCAGAACTGCACCAACTGTGGCTTTAAAATGGCACTGATAAACGCCCATTCTCTGTACCTTACCTGTCTGGGGGATCACACAGCAGAGCTCCCTACTCTTTCTGTCAACAGTTTACCCTGAATGCATGATTTGTTAGAGCTAGATTCAAAAACACTCTTTTTCAAAGGCTTTGGCTGCATGCCAGCCTGAATAAAGGCACCTTCCCCCTCCCTGGTGAGGTGTGGTCTGAAAGAGCCTCGGATTCACTGGCTCTTTTCAAAGGCTTTGTCTGCATGCAAGCCTGAAAACAGGCATATTCCCCTCCTTGGCTGTGTCAGCTCCGAGGGGAGAAACCAGGAGGTGTTGCCTGACAGAGCCTCAGATGACTCTTTTCTAAGGCTTTTGCTGCAGCAGGCCTGATTGAAAGAATCCCTCCCCCTCTCTGGCTCCTGTTTGGTTCCAGCCAGAAGCCTGAAGGTGTGGCCTAGTGGGAGCCCCTTTTAAGGGCTTAGCTATGCTTGACTGAAGGAAATCTTTCCTGGCTGCCCTCAGTTTCAAGGTGAAATTCTTCAAGGCATGAGTTAAGAGAACCTTGCAATTCTCAGTGACTCTTTGTGAAAGGTGTTGAGTATCAGGAGGGTATTGTGCCTTTCAGTTGGGGTTGTTTGGACCTCTTCACTCCTATAGCTTTGGAGAGATGCTAAAGTGGGTGGAGTTTCCTGTTCTTGGTTGTGTTCTGAGGCAACAAACTGGTTATGCTTAAGGCCTGTTGAGTTTCATTTTACCACTCTATTGGGACTGCCTTAGTTCCAAGGTCAGAACTGATTCTTGGTGATCTCTGTGCCAAGCCCTTTTATTAATGCCTGGTTCTAAAGGCTGACACAGTGACACAGCAGCCTCAGTTGCACCTTGCAATCCATCTCCATGGGGAACTCAAAAAGTGATCATCAAGTATGCTTTTTGGAGGCAAGCCTGAGCAGTTTGCCTCTCCTTTTTGTTCCATGGTCTGGGGTGCCTTGGTTGCTTCTGTTTTCAGTATCTATGATAAACCTGCACCTTTAAGCCTAAAACTTTTGTAGGCAATTTTCCCTGTTGGTTTCATGTATGCCCACACTCCCTTCTTC